CGACCCTTCCCTTGCAAACCTACTAGTTCACACGAGTGTTTATATTGTTATAGTAACGACCCTTCCCTTACAAACCTACTAGCTCACACTAGTGTTTACATTGTTATAGTAACGACCCTTCCCTTACAAACCTACTAATTCACACTAGTGTTTATATTGTTATAGTAACGACCCTTCCCTTACAAACCTACTAATTCACACTAGTGTTTACATTGTTATAGTAACGACCCTTCCCTTACAAACCTACTAGTTCACACTAGTGTTTACATTGTTATGGTAACAACTTTGCACATAACCTACTAAAAATCTAATAAAAATATCTCTCAGGGTATTAAACGAAACTGTTATATTTATTGGAAAGGGTATATCACAAACAGTATATGGCATCCTGGGGGAAACAATATTTTCCATAAGCTACATATTTACTTGTGATCCTTGAGATCTTATTTATGTATTATACTCTATTTATTGTAAACAAACGTTAAACAATAAATTTATATAAATCTCACGTGAAAAATGCAAATAAATGCCTGCTATCTGTTAACAAACTCATTAATAGGTGTAGTATGGAAAAATATTAAATTTTACAAGAACCTTTATTTTCAAACGTTTCCATTTTATTATTATTATTTGTGTATAATTTTTGCTTGATTTTCCTATTAGAGTTACCATATGTTAAAACATCACACATTTACCTTCTTTTCCTATTAGAGTTACCATATGTTAAAACATCACACATTTACCTTCTTTTCCTGCTAGATTTACCATATGTTAAAAGGTAAATGTGTGATGAACTCTAGCAGGAAAAGAAACCATATGTTAAAACATCGCACATTTACCTTCTTTTCCTGCTAGAATTACCATATGTTAAAACATCACAAATTTACCTTAATTTCCTGCTAGAGTTACCATATGTTAAAACATCACACACTTACTTTCTTTTCCTGCTAGAGTTACCATATGTTAAAACGTCACACATTTACCTTCTTTTCCTCTTACCTGTGAGGACTGCAGCACAGCATTTGTTATCATATAAGCTTCCTCGAGAGTGGCGTCATCTTTCGGATTGACACAAAACAACAAGTGTGTGATGCCAAGTAATGGAAACAACAACACTGTGGCTTTGATGGCTCTCCTAGGACAAAATAATACTGTTTTGTAACAAATTGTAGAAATGATTTCACAACAAACATAAGGAGAAAGAACAAATTCAGGCTCTACACTAACACTGAAGTTATCATTCTTTTAAAATCTTGTTTCCAAAGATCTTTTGAAAGCAACAATAAATTATTTAATAAAAACAACTTTTCCTGAAATCGATACAATAAACATTTCTTTTACATCTTGGTAAACTTTCTAGAGCCGAAAACGTATGTAAACAGTACGACACACTCACCTGATGTAAACAGTACGACACATTCACCTGATGTAAACAGTACGACACACTCACCTGATGTCAGCTCGTACTGTTTACATCAGGTGAGTGTGTCGTACTTTTACATCAGGTGAGTGTGTGTGTCGTACTGTCGTACTGTTTACATCAGGTGAGTTACATCAGGTGAGTGTAGCATTATGATACACTCATCTGATGTAAACAGTATAATACACTCACCTGATGTTAAGAGTACGACACATTTGATGTAAACACTATGATACACACACACACACACACCTGATGTGCGTAGATTCTCGTGAGTGAAGTCTCGTCACCAGAACTCTGATAATATTCACCAGGAAACCAAAGTTCACCTGAAAAATTGAGATGAAAACGTGTTCTAGAAGAACAGAGTACTTATTACTAGTACCACTGTGTCTAAATAGTTAATTGAGTCTAGTACCATTGAGTCTAACTATCCGATTGAGCCTAGTACCATTGAGTCTAACTATCCGATTGAGCCTAGTACCATTGAGTCTAACTATCCGATTGAGCCTAGTACTATTGAGTCTAAGTATCCGATTGAGCCTAGTACCATTGAGTCTAACTATCCGATTGAGCCTAGTACCATTGAGTCTAACTATCCGATTGAGCCTAGTACCATTGAGTCAAAATATCCGATTGAGTCTAATATCCGATTGAGTCTAGTACCATTGAGTCTAAATATTTGATTGAGTCTAGTACCATTGAGTCTAAATATTTGATTGAGTCTAGTACCATTGAGTCTAACTATCCGATTGAGCCTAGTACCATTGAGTCTAGTACCATTGAGTCTAAATATTTGATTGAGTCTAGTACCATTGAGTCTAAATATCCGATTGAGTCTAGTACCATTGAGTCTAACTATCCGATTATATCTAACTATCCCACAATTATATATATTAATATATATATATATATATATTAACTCCTCAGTGGTTTCACCTATAACATATTTATTTTTATCTTTTTCAACAACCACTACGTGTAATTTCCTACACAATAATTAAGAACAGTTTGCACTCAGAGATTAGCATCAATATCTGTTTGAACAGAGGTTTAATAGCGAAGTTGTTTGCAGGAAGTGATTGTGGAAACTATCTTCTTCATATCCGTGGCCATAACGACAGTAGCAGGAAGTGATTGTGGAAACTCTCTCCTTCATATTCGTGGCCATAACGACAGTAGCAGGAAGTGATTGTGGAAACTCTCTCCTTCATATTCGTGGCCATAACGACAGTAGTGAGTTTGACTAACTCTGTATCGAGTTACACATAAAACCAACGAAATACCAGTCGTTTTGGGGTCTATTTTAAACCCCGTGTGTAAGGTGGGTGTTGTATAAAAACTCCTTTTACAGAACTAAAAGCCCCGAAGCAAATACAAGTTGTATCAGGAAACTCTATAAAAAATTTTCCATGTGGTGTGGATGTAATGACGTCACGGTCAGAGTAGCCTGTAGGAACATCGAACTGAGAATGGATTGTCTTTTATTTTGTAAGTCAGACGATAGACATCAGAAGTTTCCTTTACCACAAAAACTTTTTTGAGAGTATTGTTTGACGTTTTTATTCTCTACCAAGTGACAAAACTTTAAATCTATATTTACATTACCGGAGCTTCTTCTTGAGAAAACGGGGTTAGATGAACCTGTTCTGGTTTTTGTTACATCCGTGACTTACCCAGTGTTTAAAACAAACTAGCCCCCCCCCCAGTGGCACAGCTGTGTGTCTGTGGACTTACAACGCTAGAAACCGGGTTTCGATACCCGTGGTGGGCAGAGCCCAGATAGCCCATTGTGTAGCTTTGTGCATAAATTCAAAACAAACAAACTACAGTGTCTCCCCCTATCCGTTATGGTTCTTGTTAAATTCATGACTTGCTCAGTTTTGCACAAATTGCCCCCAGTGGTTCAACAGCAAATATGAAAGCTTATAAAGTTAAATATCGGGGTTCGATACCCGTGGAGTGCACAGCACAGGTAGTCCGTTGTGTTTAATAACAAACAGTGTCTCCTCTATCAACAGCTAAGGTTATGTTGTTGTTTTCCTTTGAAGTGTTTAAAAATAATGCTTAGATTTAATAAGCATTTCTTTTGATACGTTTCTGTGTTTCTCTTGAAGTTTAGAACAGTAAAATATCAATTATTGAATTATGTTTGTTTATTTGTATGTTCTAGAACTATCTGCTGTGTTCATCTCGGGAATCGAACCTCGGATTTTAGCGATGTAAGTTCGTGGACTCACCGCTATCCCACGGAGGGATATTGTTTTTGTTTTTTATCATTGTTAGCAGTCAACAGCAAAACAGGTAAAAACCTACAGAAAGTTTAAAACATATAGGGTAAAAACCTACAGAAAGTTTAAACCTATAAGGTAAAAACCTACAGAAGTGTAGACCTGTAAGGTAAAAAACCTACAGAAAGTTTAAACCTATAAGGTAAAAACCTACAGAAAGTGTAAACCTATAAGGTAAAAAACCTACAGAAAGTTTAAACCTATAAGGTAAAAACCTACAGAAAGTGTAAACCTATAAGGTAAAAAACCTACAGAAAGTGTAAACCTATAAGGTAAAAACTTATAGAAAGTGTAAACCTATAAGGTAAAAACCTATAGAAAGTGTAAACCTATAAGGTAAAAACCTACAGAAAGTTTAAACCTATAAGGTAAAAACCTACAGAACGTGTAGACCTATAAGGTAAAAACCTACAGAAAATTTAAACCTATAAGGTAAAAACCTACAGAAAATTTAAACCTATAAGGTAAAAACCTACACAAAATGTAGATCTACAAAAAATGAAGACCTACATTAGGTAATTAAACCAAAAATGTAATTTTCATGCAATCTCTATCACAAAAAAATAAATAACATAAAACATTCCACAGTAAAGTCCATTGTTACCGGCATAAAAAGTTATAATAAATATCACCAAAGACAAGTTTAACTAAATATAACATAGATACAAACCGTTAACACGATTTGAAATAGATATTCAGATTTCTATAAACACTTGGAAAAAGAATATTATTCATTTGGATCACGTAAAAACTTTAAGTTGCTTCTCATTCTCAGTCTTCAACTGGTTACAATCTAATAGATAAAATCTGGTTACTTTCTTCTATAATTTATAATGTTTTTATCCTTATAACATCAGATCGTTCTTTTCTTATCACGTCAGACATTATCCATCTCAGAAGATGTTAGTATTTCAAACACTACAACAACAGTCAGATGAATTTATGACTGAAACACAAAGTTAGAAAAAATATTTTTACTTCGCTTTTTTCTGATTTATCTTGCTTTCTGTACATTTTTACTTGTTATTTGGAACGTTAGTCTTGATAGTAAGGTTGATTTATCTTGGTCTCTGTACATTTTGTACTTGTTATTTGTAACGTTAATCTTCACAGTAAGGCTGATTTATCTTGGTTTCTGTACATTTTTACTTGTTACTTATAACGTTAGTCTTCACAGTAAGGCTGATTTATCTTGATTTCTGTACATTTTTACTTGTTATTTGGAATGTTAGTCTTGATAGTAAGGCTGATTTATCTTGGTCTCTGTACATTTTGTACTTGTTATTTGTAACGTTAGTCTTGACAGTAAGGTTGATTTATCTTGGTTTCTGTACATTTTGTACTTGTTATTTGTAACGTTAATCTTCACAGTAAGGCTGATTTATCTTGATTTCTGTACATTTTTACTTGTTACTTATAACGTTAGTCTTGACAGCAAGGTTGATTTATCTTGCTTTCTGTACATTTTGTACTTGTTATTTGGAACGTTAGTCTTGACAGTAAGGTTGATTTATCTTGGTCTCTGTACATTTTTACTTGTTACTTGTTACAAAATACAGTCTCAACACTTGTTATTTATAACGTTAATCTTCACAGTAAGGCTGATTTATCTTGATCTCTGTACATTTTTACTTGTTCTTTGGAATGTTAGTCTTAACAGCAAGGTTGATTTATCTTGATCTCTGTACATTTTTACTTGTTATTTATAACGTTAGTCTTCACAGTAAGGCTGATTTATCTTGGTCTCTGTACATTTTGTACTTGTTATTTGTAACGTTAATCTTCACAGTAAGGCTGATTTATCTTGGTTTCTGTACATTTTTACTTGTTACTTATAACGTTAGTCTTCACAGTAAGGAAAATGTACAGAGATCAAGATAAATCAACCTTGCTGTTAAGACTAACATTCCAAAGAACAAGTAAAAATGTACAGTGATCAAGATAAATCAGCCTTACTGTGAAGACTAACATTCCAAATAACAAGTACAAATGTACAGAAATCAAGATAACTCAACCCTACTATTAAAGCCAAGAGCATGGGAGCGGTTATTATCCAGATGTATGGTGATTCACCGTAACCTTCCCAACATGGCGTGTCCAGCGTCCAGCTGATAGTTGCTGCCCAAACACCGATCGAAATGAACGGCACACCTGTTCCGTTAAAAATAAAAGTAGTTCTTACAATATAGAAATAAAACCATTCACTGATAACAAACGCATGGTTATCTGTTGTTTGTTAGGGTTAGCTATTGTGTATTTCATAGCTATTAAACTAAAACCATTCACTGATAACAAATACGTGGTTATCTGTTGTTTGTTAGGGTTAGCTATTGTGTATTTCATAGCTATTAAACTAAAACCATTCACTGATAACAAACACATGGTTATCTGTTGTTTGTTAGGGTTAGCTATTGTGTATTTTGTAGCTACTAAACTAAAACCATTCACTGATAACAAACACATGGTTATCTGTTGTTTGTTAGGGTTAGCTATTGTGTATTTTGTAGCTACTAAACTAAAACCATTCACTGATAACAAACACATGG